AAAAAAAAAAAAAAAAAAAAGGGGGAAATCAGTATCTTTCCAACCAAAACAGAAGTTAAACCAGTTCACAGAATCCCAGAGTGGTTTGGGTTGAAGGGACCTTAAAGCCCATCCAGTTCCACCCCTGCCATGGGCAGGGACACCTTCCACTAGCCCAGGTTGCTCCAAGCCCTGTCCGACCTGGCCTTGGACACTTCCAGGGGTCCAGGGGCAGCCCCAGCTTCTCTGGGCAACCTGTGCCAGGGCCTCCCCACCCTCCCAGCCAAGAATTCCTTCCCAATATTCCATCTAACCCTGCCCTCTGGAAGCCATTCCCTGTGTCCTGTCACTACAGACCCTTGTGAAGTTATTTGCTCCCCCAAATGTTTTATATCTTTCCTTTATAAAAGTCAGGTTTCACAGGCTTTTCCAATTATCCCATTTACTGCATTGGCTGAAAATACACCAACAAAACACAAATCAAGTCTATTTTCTTTTTGCCAACAGACAGGAAGATTAACCTTAACTGGACATTAATTATTGGGGAGGGGGGGAAAAACCCCAGTCTAAATTTACTACACAGCCAAGTCTTCAACATTCTCCTTGACAACAGAACGAGCAACACCCGATGCCAAAATTCCCAGTGTGAGGAACAACTAATTATTAGGTTGTGGTGTTGACTGGCCTGAAACCCAGGCAACCACTTATCCTGCTGTCCATGGGGTATTATTAGACCCACTGTGATGAGTGAGTGTGTGCAGGAGCTGGCACAGCCCCAGGGCTGCCCCTTTAGGGAGCAGTTCTAGGCTTTCAGGGCTCAGGTTCCAAGGTCTGGGCAGAATTAGACACAACAGCTGCAGGGAAGTGGCTGGAAGGGCAGCTCCAGCTCGGGGTTATGTAATGCCTGAGCAAAGGGGGCATCCAAAGGCAGGGCTGGCAGAAATAGATGCCTCTCCTGGAGTTTAAATGGGCAGGAAAAGGATTAATTATAGCAAAGAGAAAGACATCAGAGGCTGCCTTGGAGAATCAGCTGTTCTGGCAGTGTTTTTCCAGTTTTGGATAAACATATAATTTATTTAGGTTCTATTTAAAGCATATAAATTACAAGGAGGAAAAGAGTCCTTTAAGAAGCCTTTAATACAAAGCAGTGTTTCAGAGA